CCAACTTCATACCCTCTATCATTTGTTTGAACAACTATTGAGTCTAATTTGTGTTCTCCAAAAGCTTTTGGGTATGAGTCCATCCCCTGGAGTTTGGCCAACCTACTGAGTACCACACACTGAAAGAAAATTGACTCTCCCTCTCCCAGCAGCTATCAGTTGCCAACAGTTCCTCACCTAGTGTTGGGGCGTCTCACACACCTCTCCCATCCATGCTGGATTTTTATCTGGCTTAGGCTTTCACAGGTCTTGAGTATTTTTTATTTTTGTTTTTTGCTTTATTTTTATTTTATGTGTATGCATGTATTGCTTGCATGTATGCAAATGCACTGGTGTAGTTCAATGCCGGCAGAGGACAGAAGAGGTCATTAAGAGGTCATTGAATCCCCTGGAACTGGAGTTATGGATGTTTGTTAGCTGCCATGTGGGTGCTGGAATTCGAAACCTTGTCTTCTGCAAGAACAGTCAGTGCTCTTAACCGCTGAGCCATCTTTCCAGTCCTGGGTACTTTTTTTTTTTTTTTTTTTTTTTTTAAGAAAGGGTCTCATTAAGTAACCAAGTTTGACCTAGACTTTATCATCCTCCTGCCTCAGTCTCCCAAGTGCTGGGATTACAGAAATGTGCAAATAGTTCCATCATTTCTCTTCTCCAATAACATACTTGGCCATGAATGATTTATAGGCGACCATATTAGAAACAATCCTATAGGCCTGAGATTCACTACACAGATCACATTGCTGGACACACACTGGTATCTTGTATTTAAGTGATCACATTTCTTTTGAAAACAGGGTTCAGCAAACTGCTCTAGATGGGTGCTGTCCTCATAAAGGCAATCAGAGGTCACCAGTGTTTTCTGGCAGTGGACCATTTAATATCTAGGGCTGATGCCAATAAAAATGATAATATGTGCTCAGCACAATGCCACCCCACTCTGCGGATATGAGAAGGCCAAGAGTCATTTGAAATACTAATGGGAAAAATGATTAAAGCCAAGAATGCTGCTCATTATGTAAACAGAGCTTCCTGCTGAAAAAAAAAAAAAAAAACAACTTTCCTTTGGTGCACAAATGCCTTAACTCTAGAAGCCTAAAGGGCCGAAAAACAAAAAAAATAATAAATAATAAATAGTAACTTCTTAAGTAACTCAGTTTTTCATTGTTTAATGCAGATCTTAGCCTTATATTTATTTTTAAAACTGGAATAAGTACATAATAGTAAAGGACCATTATCTGAAATAAAATATTTAGACATATTATTCTTTAATTTTGAAAGATTTTTTTGCAGATTAATTTTGCAGATTAATTTTTCTGTAACTTCTGATTTATTTCAAGGGAATCTAAACTTTTATGTTTTCTTTGAGCAAAGATACTTCATTTGAAATTGGTAAAAAAAAAATAATAATTGGGGTTAGAGAGATGGCTCAGCAGTTAAGAGCCCTGGCAGCTCTTGCAGGGGACCCAGGCTCAGTTTCCAGTATCCACATGGTGACTAACAACCACCCTGTTCCAGGGAATCTCATGCCATCTCCTGGCTTTTGTAGGCACTGCACACACATGGTGCACTTATGTACATGCAGGCAAAACACTCATACTTATAAAAATTAAGTAATTAAACAATAAACCTTGTGCAGAGTTTGAGGTTTCTTTAAAAAATCAAATAAAACCTGTGGACCCTATCCTAAGAAAAAGGCACAAGATTCTATATCAGATTTACAGAACACATGGATTCCCAAAAGGTTTGTAATAATAATAATAATAATAATAATTTAATGAATGCTTACCTGGAAAAGTCCAGTTTTGTTGAAGAAAGTAAACTGTGCTCTTCTAACTAATGAAGAATCCTCTTGACTTAAATTCTCAAGTAAATTTGGAGGTAAAATCACGGATGCCAGGGGATCCTCTTGTCCATTCTCAAAGTCCATCTGTCACACAAACACACTGGTAGAATAATCACCGAGAACTCGCAATGGTAACATAGTCTCCAGGCTGAGTTAGATGACAGAACAACTGCAAGGAGCAAGTTAGCCAGAACCAGGTGCCCTTGACCTCTGCAGTAGTCTGCAACACCTGGATAAATTCCCTGCAGTCAAAGCCAGAGATTTCATTAGAGGTTCACAGAAAAATACCTTGGTTCTAACTAAGGTAGACCAAGAATTCTTCAAACCAGTTAATATTTCCAAGTATGAGGGTGGGATTTAAATGTCTCAGATTTTGAGGGTTTCTTCAAAACGCTCTGTGAAAGACAGTAACTGTGTGAATGAACTAACTTGTTTAATTACAGACTTGGTTACCCTTACAAAGAGGGTAACAAACAGCAACAGCTGTTTGTGTCTTTGCTGTTATTGCATAAGGGCCTTTGTTTGAAATGAGAGAAGACAAAGCAGAAGTGCACGTTGGGCAGAGGAATAACACAGAGCAGCTTAATTTTGGTCGGCACTCCTCTGGTTGCTTTACAGAGTCGAGACCAAGGGACAGCTGGTGTATTATGGACGCTCTTGGATATTGCTTTTTCCTGAAATTGTAGCTTTCTTGAAATTCTTAGAGCGATTGGGCCCAAACTTTTTCTACTTCTACTGTGGTTTACCTTGAAAGCTAAGAAGTTCTATGATAGACAGTACTGCATTCATTAGGTTTGCTCCTCTGGCTAGCACAGCCTGGCACATAGTGAGATCTTGAAAATTATTTGCTGAACTGTGACTTTAATACATCCAAAAGACCCTCCATTGACCTGGCTCCTTATTACTTTCCCAGCTTAGTCTCTTGTTAGCACACTGCCAAACTTCTACACCATTGATTTACAAAATAAAACCTACAGGGCAGCAACATCAGCAGTATTTGAAAACTTGCAAAAGCACAAATTCCAGGGCCCTACACAGAACCTACTATCTTAGAAGCTCTGGGGGCAAGAGCTAGAATTGGTTTTAATATGTCTTCCACAAGACCCCAATGTCCATTTTTAGATGCGTGGGCAAGGAGAAAGCCTCATGATGCTTTCCACCTGAGGGTCTTTAATAAGGCCTTTTTGTCTCACTTAAGTGATTGACATCCCATACTTCCAATATGGCATCTTCCATTCGTGTGCTAACACTTAGCTTTATAACAGCTTGACTAGAAGGTATCCTGCATCATCTAGACTATGAAGGCATACATCCTCTATTCTTCCACATTACCTTCCACATTATACATCCTATGGATGCTGATGTGATTTTAGCCAGTGTTCAGACCTGTTTGCCACCTCTTGGATCAAGATTTCCTTAAGTAGCAAATGTTAAGGAATCAGCAAATTTTTTCCTCATTAATTAATTAGAATTAAAACACCATGTGTTTATTACCTGGAAATATGATTCATTGTTGCTTGGAAGACCAATGCTAAAATTTAAAACTATATTTGTCCCTGGTGTCAGGGATGAAACTCCAAGAGCCAAATTCTGAGTTGTGATATTCACACGTGGGGTGCTATTCAGGTCGATCTTGAAGGCTAGCTCATCGATTGTTTTTAAAGCTCTAAAGAAATGAAAATGACATCATCATTACCTCACACGGTATTCTATTTAGGTGCTTGCTGGATGATAAAATACCAATTAAAAAAATCATCTTTAGGGGCTGAAGAGATGGCTCAGCCATTAAGAACACTGGCTGCTCTTGCAGAGGACCTGGGTTTGCTTCTCAGCACCCATATGACATCTAACAACCATTCATTAATTCCACTTTCAGGGAATCTGACACCCTCTTCTGGCCTCCATAGGCAGTGCATGAGATGAGTGCACTTAATGCAGGCAAAACACTCATACACATAAAATAAAAATAAATAAAATTTTTAAAATCATCTTTAAATTTTCTTATTTTAATGCATATAGCCACAGAATCAACCCAAATACCAATATTACTAGTTGAAACACAGAAACACAATAATTGAAGCATCCTCAAGAAAAATATTTGCTCTTTTAAAAAAAGATTATTTATTTTTTATTGTATGTGTATGAGTGTATTGTCAAATGTAAGTGTACCATGTTGTGCAGTGACCATGGTGGTCAGAAGAGGGTGTCAGATCCTTTGGAACTGGAGTTATGGATGGTTGTTAGCTGCCATGTGGGTAGTGGGACTCGAATCAAAGTCCTCTGCAAGAGCAGCTAGAGCTCTTAACCACTGAGACATCTCTCCAGTTACAAAATATTTTCTCTTAAAGTAAATCAAAGCCTAAGTCATTAGGACAAATATTCTTTTTCAAAATATTGTTTAAGACACCAGAAGATACTGTAAAACTCTTCATACTTAATGTGGCAGAAATAAAATACAGAACATTTTAACAAATATTATTTTATCAGAAAATGTGATTTAAAGGGTATAATTCAATATTAAATGAAGTAATAAAAATTTGAAAAGTAAATCTATTCCCACCTACCCAAGGCATTTTCATTTTAGAAGGTTACATATCTGCAACAATCTGTGGCCCAGATCATAGGGGAATAGAGTTACAGTGGCCAAGTTATAACTCTGGCTCACTAAATTTTCAGAATGCTTCAAATGAAGAATACATTATGATGCACTGGGTATTTGGAGGGGTATTTATACACTGCCAGATGACAACTGTAATTATTTTGCAAATTAAAATTCTAAAATATAGATAACTTTGAGGTTACCTTAGCAAATGACCTTGGGAAATATCTATGCATCTTGTAGAGATTTGAATTGTGAAGTTGGCACAAAGCATTAAGAAAGCGAGGGTTCCTTTGCTAGCACATTGGTGCAATAAAATTTTACTTTTTCTTTTAATTTTTAAAATGTTTCTTTAAATTTCTTTCATTGAAAAGAAAATAATAATACTTACTCAGAAGAAGACTCAAGCAAGTCACTATCTGAACTGCTTAAGATATTGGAAAATATATTCATTAGCGCGGAGCCGAGTGTTATATCAATGTTATCCTCTTTGTTCACAATTCTTTTGACCTGTTCTACAATGCTGTTAATATTGGCCGAGGTTAGATTCTGCCCATCAGTAGTCAAGTCTAATATCTCACTGGCAACTTCATTTGATTGCCCTAAAAAAAGGCAGAAGAAACAACATAAAGTGTACTGTGCATTTTGGACATTTCTAGGAGTACAATGCATAGTATGGATATTTCATTATACAGTTTCAGGAAATTGGGTTCCCGTGCATACCCCACCCCATCTTCACAGGGTAACAATATTTCTTTACACAGAGATATAAAGGCCTCTCTTAAGTAAGATACAAGTAATTCAGAGGGACCAGCATTCACATTGCTCTAAAGAGAAATATCCTCGCAATCACTACGTACGTTTGCCACATGAAAATAATGCAGAAATATGAAAGACATAGATGGAAACAATTCATATATTTTTAAAGTCTTCTCTAGAATTCTCTTTCTACTTTTAATTCCTACAAAATGAGTATGACAAAAAATTAAAATATGCAAAATTGCATATTCTATCTAAAAATATGCGAAACATTCATTTGCCCAAGTTTTAATATTAAAGTAATACCACACAGCAGAACAGTATGTCTGAAGTGGATGGAAACCATAAAGCCTGTGAGGCCACTGCATTTTGCCATGGGAAAAAGAAGACAAATTACTCACTCACTTGAACAGTTGGAAGCATCAAAGGGGCCCCAGAAGGTTGATGTCCCATTAGAAAGGCTGTAATAATTACCAAACAACAACAAAAGGAGATATTTAACCTTATGGCATCAAAGAGGCTATAACTAACAAAATCAATTAATAAACTTCAGAATTTGCCTTGATATCTAGCTAGTTTTACTTTGAAAATAGCTCTGTAATGCACTGAAATGAAACATACCTAACATCTTTACTGGAAAATATGCCAGTAGCTGATGCTATAGAAGCAAATGCCAGTAACATCCTGCATCCTAACCTAGCACACAGTGGTCAAGTACTGTTTCAAAGGCTTTACTGGCAAACTCTAATTTTGATTTCACATGAGTCTGGAAAGCAGATTACAATCCACGTTTATAAAAGAGGAAATGCATTTTAGAGAAGCCAAAGAATTTCCCAAGGTCTCCAGGCAGGAAGAGGTAGGGCCACATTTCAAACTCTAGTCCATAAATCTTAAAGCACTTGTCTTCCCCCCACCCCCCAAGTGTCAAACACAGACCTCAAAGCTAAGTATTTACACTTCGGAAGTTTTCGTTCCTGAATTCCCTCCAAAAGAACTAACTAGGAGAGGGGCAGACGGTGAAGAACTAGATTTGAAGGGTTGCTACGTGACTCCAACAGCTGTCTGGTCTGGAGTTTACCGGACATCCAAGGAAATACTGTATCCTTGCAGTGTCTATCTGCAGACTGCTCCAACCTGGACCTGGACTTTATTCCTACATTGTGACTTCTCTCTTCTCCAAATGGGAAGGAAGTTACTGCAATTTCAGGTGCATGTCCTGAGACTGAGTTGGCTACAAGGTGCTTTGCTCTGGAGCCAGTCTGCCTTCCAACTTCCTCACTCTTTCTTTGGAGAAGGCCCAGTTAGCATGTTGCTCAGAAGAAAACAGCTTTTCTGGGTAGTATGCTTTCCTTATCTCTACCCACCCAGAAGTGTGTGATTCCTGCCCTGTTTCTCAAATCAACACAATGTACAAGCACTGCTCAGGGCATACGTAAACCTGGATAAGTGGTTGCAAATCAATGAAAGTCTTACCATGTCCTCATAACAAAAAAGCCAGGCTTGTTTGGACAGGGTAGTGTGTAGACCGAAGGTGGGATGGCTGGCCAGCTAAAGCCTTCCTCATCCTCCAAGGCACTACAAATACCTAGAAGAAAATGAGAGCTAACATGAGAAATCCCAGCCCTCCATTCTCTATGCCAAAGGCTCAAGATGAAAGTCAAATGGCAGTCCTGGGTGCTGAGTACACATTCCATGTAGAACTGAAATATTAGTGTTCTATTTATATTCAGAATTAAAAAAAAACAAATTTAGAAATCGCCAAGAATAAGCATATATTTCAGGTGAAAAAATATATCTTACAAAACCATCTTATAAAAAAGAACACACTTTTGAGAATACATAAAATCATGAAATACACATTATCATTCCTATAAACCATTAACAAAATATTATTAGTACAATGTGTTTCATTCCAAGAATAAACAGGATAGAAACTGAGCAAACATGAAGAATTCAAAGCTTAGTGCACGCTGTTAAAAAGGGAGCAAGCCATCAAATGGAGCATGAACAGCTTCATGGGTGGGTATGAGCATATTTTATGGAAGACTTTCTAGCTGTTCTAGTAGTATGTAGTGCCTTCAAGCTTACTGAATAAAATACTACGAAGGTTCCTATGAGCTGACTCCCTGTCTTCCCTTCCCTTTTATCCTCAACAATCCCACTTTTTATTTGAAAATACTCTGAATAATTGTAACGACAATATGATTCAGAGTTTATCTTTTGAAAAATAGAAAATTCGTAGTAATCAACAACCACAATAAAACCCAAGTACTGAAAAACAGCAAGTTTGGGGATTTCTGAGAACCAATATTGTAGGCACCGATTGACAATTCCAATTACTTTCTCATCTATTGTTTGAACTCAGTGAAGTTGTGGCCTATATTTTCAAATGGTAGAATCTTTTCTTCACAGACTCACTTGTAGAAAAACAATATAATACAGGAGTTCAATTAAATAGTATAAATTAAATATTCAGGTATGAACAAAGGGCTGTCCCAAGATTCCCCAGTCTTTGAGAACAGATGGGCCTGCTCCCCTTAAGTTGGTTGGTCATATTTTTCCTGCCATTTGTTACACTGCTTGTTTGTAGAGACTCCAGTTTATGGATCAGCAGCACTTGCGCCCCTCCCCAGCAGCCTTGCTTGTTAGAAAGCACGTACTTCCCAAAGGCTCTGACACTGTTTAATATTAAGCATTACTACTGTGCTTGCTATTTATTTGCCCTTGCCCACCGCTTGCCATTCTCTGTAACTGCACATGTTAACACAGTAGATAGAGATAGGCAGCTATCATAGAAGAGGAGGCAGACGCCTCCTTCCTTACTACACCTGGATCCTGCCACAGCTGTTTTCTCCCTTGAAGAGGAGGGGCACCCAGGTTCCCACTTCAGCTTTCTATGTACATGTGAGGTGAAACATCACAGTTTTCTTTTCTCCTGATTTCTATTAAGACTCTAAACATAATATGATTGTATTCATATAATACATTGGAACAATTTCTTTTTTGTGAATATTTTTGAACACTTGCTTATAAAAAATATTCCCACTAGGATTTATCCATTCATTTATTTATTCAACAAATATTCAAATTCTGGGAGTTAGGCATATTAAAAAACAAGATGCAGTCTCATGTTGGAGGAGATCACTACTTAAAGAAAACATGCATATGAATATAGACAAGACCAATAAAAGACTACAATCTTCTAAGGTATGTGAAGCTCTAGATATCAGGACAGCATGAGGTGGAGGCTCAGTATTGGTGACGTGCATGTACATATGATGGCATTAGAAAAGACCCTGAAGAAGATATGCCTTTGTGACTATCATTAAAACTACGTAGGGGATAGGTAAGTGCTCAATTCAGATAGAATACTCTGTGCAAAGACAGACAAACTAGCTGTATCAGAGGGTGGTGCATTGGGAAATAACAAGCAATATCACACACAGGGTGGCAGCTTAGGGCATGAAAGGTGTTTAAAGGACACTTGATTCTAAGTTCAAGATAAGTTCCAGATTCCTAGCTTATTCCAACAAAAGTAGTGGTATCTTTACTGCACACAGGGAACATGATAAAAGAGGGTTTATAACAAGGAACTTCTCTTTATGAGTTATTTCATGCGAGTTCTCAAAGCACATATATGCAATCTTTTTTTAAAAATCCCTTAAATGTATGCCAATGATATCAAGGTCATTCTGCACTTTGGTCCTTTTGGTAACAGTGAAGATAAAAAGCAACTGTCTGCCTCTTTCATTCCCTTGGACTCATTAGTACTGAGCTGATTATTTTTGTAATGTTACACATTTATTATGGTTTCTAGTAGAACAAATGTCATTAGAAAAAATGTTTTACATAGATTAATAACATGTAATGGAAGAACATTTGCCGCTGTTATTGTAGTTAACCCCAAATATGTAGTTATATAAAATCATAAAGAATTTGACATCGCTTACCCAGTTGCCTCACGCTCACTGTGTATAGCCTCAAGCCCTCATCCAGGGATGCGTTATTTGTTAACAGCTTCTGCTGAATGAGTTCTCCCTCCAAGTGGGCATGGTTGGTGGCATTGTAAACTAGAAGGGCCCACAGCACCAACCTAGGAAAACATGTCAGAGAGCACTGTTGTTTCCCAGGTTCTTGGCTGCTTGGTTATTTTTGTTGGGAAAAACAGAACACAAATGCCCATGAAACCTAGAGATTGAAAAGATCAACTAAGGCATCCTTAGACTTTTTCTGCAGCTGCATAAATTACAATGTTAAAGATGTTTCAAAGGAATAGGTTTTATAAGATAGTTCATTATAATTTTATCATCCTATCACTTAATATTTTATATCATACACACAAAGGGTCATACTGCAGCTAATTCTGTTTCTTCATAACCAAAAGTTAAATTAAAAATTATAATTGATATTTGACTTTTGAAATTGTTATATATTATTATTTACAAATATGGTACAAGTCCCATAGATGAAGCACTTCCAAGTACTTTGTATAGTGAAAATTTATAAAATAAATACACAGAATATACCCTGTTTGGTTAGTATGTTACTGCAAATGGTTTTAGAATGTATAGCCTTGGGGCTGAAGAAATGACTCAGTGGTTCAAAGCAGTGAGTGCTCTTGCAGAAGACCTGGGTTCAATTCCCAGCACCCATATGGCAGCTAATGACCATTTGTAACTCCAGTTCCAGGGCCGTCATTTCACCCTCTTCTGACCTCTGCAGACACTGTATGACATGGGTACACTTACATACATGCAGGCTATACACTCACACACATGAAATAAAATAATAAATAAAATATTTAGAATGTGCAGCCTCAAAATCTTTGAAAGGAAATATCTCTAAGGGACACAAAGCACAGATTATAAACTCTGTCAAAGCTTTTGGTTTTATAATGTAATTTTCTTTTCAACTACAAGCATAGCTATAATCAATAGCAGAAATCAAACTTAATTCAACATTTAGACAAAATTAATTCCCTTATATGTGAAGTTCTTCATTTGAACAACTTCTGCATTTTGTCCACATTCTGTAGAGAAATAAAAAATGTGACCCACATCATTATATTGTTCAGATCAGATACTGTCCACATGCCAAGGAGGAGAGGAGTATGTAACATGAAGTACTCAGTTCAGAGAATGGCACATTCTATTTATGAAATCCTGTCAGTGTCAACAGAAATCTATACAGTACTAATACACTAGTGGTGCTATAAAATAAGGTATAATTACGTATTTGTTATTCAAGGTTAGGTAAAGTAGCTCAATTTTACCCATCTAAGTAGCTGGCAAATCTCAAAGGATAAAGTGGTATCCTGTTCTTATAATTCTCTCTGAAAAGCTATTGATCTCTAAAAAAGATCTACTGCTTAACTCACATATCTAAGCCATATTCCAAGATGAGGAAAATGCAGATGAGGATATAATGGTGAATCGTGGGCACTTAATAATTTTCTAAATGGCCTATGAAAAGGTATCTGCTGATTAAATGACTATTTGAAGAAAAGCTTAGCCACCCTGGTTCCTGAGAATTTACAGTGGGGATGTGATCCTTCATTCCTCTTGAATGTGGAGGACAACTTTAGCACAATGTATTGTGGGTCGTATTCAGTACACAAGCTCAACTATTTAAGAACAAGCATGTATTTTCACAGCTCTTATCAGCTTGTGGGTTTCCTTTCCCATTCTGAAAACTGAAAGTACTTTATGGTTCTACAAAGTCAAGTTCTATCTCTTGTTACCATCAGCCATTTATCATTTGCATAAACCAGCCTCTGTGGTTTTAGTTTCCTGTCTGTCTAGGCAATAGAGTATGAGAGTATTATCTGAAGCTGAGTGATAGGACTGAATTGAAAGGAAGAGTTTGGGCAAAAGAATGGGTGTAAAACTAGTATATTGTGGTTTGGAGAAAAACTAGGAAAGATTTTAAAGCTTCATAAGTGAGCATAAGAGTAACGATGAAAAGGTTTTAAAAAGCGACGGGGGGGGGCGACTATAAAAAAAGACAATAGTGAGAATTTATAAAAAAGGAAAATGAAACAGGTGACTTTTCCCACACATGGTCTTATTTCATTCACCCTATAAATTTCTGTGTAATTATTCACTGGTCTGACAGACCAGGAAAGACATTTATTTAAATGTCTTTCAAGCAAGATTTTCTGAGATGCTGAAATACAACAACAATGGCTGGTTTTAATGTTATCAGGTAAAAGAAACACCTCTGTGAATAAGCCAAGAGGGAACGCAGATTTCCTGAGGGAGGGCTACCACTCCTCCTACCCCAAACTAGGCCTGTTCCCTGAATGCTTGACAAAGCATCCCACAAAGGGATCCAGACTGCTGTTGGATCCATGATGGAAGGCTCAACATGATCTAGCAGTAGGGCTGGGGAAGGACTGTTTTATTAAGAAGAGGAGAATGTCACTTCCTATACTGAAATATTAACTCTGTTTTCAATCATAAAGGAAACCAAATTATGAAAACAAACAAAAAAAACCCAGCTTTCCATAATCAAGCAGTTTGAGCCAATCTATTGAAAATATACAGAAACGACATTTTAATAAATTTTAAAACATTTGTTTTTCTAGTATTTAAAGAAAAAGAAAGAAATAAAGTTCTTTCTGGTCAACTCTCATACAATTTTATGTCTTTTCTTTTTTAAAAATATTTTATTTATTAGTATTTTTATTTTATGTATATGCGTGTATTGCCTGCATGTAGGTAAGGGCACCCATGTCATGCAATGCCCACGGAGGACAGAAGAGGCTGTTGGATCCCCTAGGACTGGAGTTATGGACAGTTGTTAGCTGCCATGTGGGTGCTGGGATTCAAACCCTGGTCTTATGTAAGAACAACCAGTGTTCTTAACTGCTGAGCCATGTCTCCAGCCCCCGTGTCTCTTTTTAAAAAAAAAAAAAATTTTATTTATTATTATTTTCACTTTATGCATATGAGTGTATTGCCTGTATATGTGTGAGTGCACCCATGTCATGCAGTGCCACAGGGGTCAGAAGAGGGCTTTGGATTCCTCTGGAACTGGAGCTAAGGATGGTTCATAGCCGCCATGTGGGTGCTGGGAATCGAACCCAGGTCTTCTGCAAAAGCAGTCAGTGCTCTTAACTGCTGAGCCATCTCTTCAGGCCCTATGTGTCTCTTCTTTAGGTAACAATACATCATAGTTTTTGTGGCTGTATTTTCTTTTAAAAATGAAAATTAAATGTGTGTGTGTGTGTGGGTGTGTGTGTGTGTGTGTGTGTGTGTGTGTGTGTGTGTGTGCATGTATATGCTCTGGTGCACTTGTGGAAAAAAGAGAAACTCTTGTGGGAATCTCTTTTTTCTTTATCTTATGTGTTGTTTTTGGGTTAACATCAGAATTGGTGCACTTGTGGAAATCAGAGAACATCTTGTGGGAATCACTTCTTTCCTTACATCATGTAGGTTCTTGGGATTAAACTCAGGATATCAGCCTTGATGGCAAGTGTCTTTATCCACTAAATTACCTTACTGGCCAATGGCTATATTTTTATTACATCAATTCAGTCAATTAAAACCTAGAAAGGTATATAAGAACCTAGAAAGCTATATAAGGCATTTTCCTTTCAAATAATTCATTGAGTCTATGGAGATACAATATACAACCTGAACGCAATCAAAAAATTGCTTTTCATTCAAAGGTTTAGGTTGTTTTTCACTTTGCAGCAGTCTGAACAGCTGATCCCTATGTGCCAACTGGTTGTATATGCTGGACTTATTCATTAAATTGCCTGTGTGGTTTTAATCTCGAGAAATCTAAAAGTGGAGACCAGACAAATAGATGATGACTGTAAATGCTAAAAATGTTTGGCTTCCCCACCTCTAGCTTTGGGAGAGGGATAGTCGATTTTCTTCAAGAATGTCATCACTGAACCGGGAGTGGTGGCATATGCCTTTAGCCCCAGCACTCAGGAGGCAGAGGAAGGTGGATCTCTGTGAGATCAAGGCCAGCCTGGTCTACATAGCGAGATCCATGCCCTGTGGGGCTACAAGGAGACCCTGTCTCAGAAAAAAAAAAAAAAAAAAAAAAAACTTCAGCGAGAGAACGCAGCCCCAGAAAGGCTACATGCATCAGTGGATGGCCTACACCCATGTATGAACTGGCAGCAGAGAGTGGAGTCAGTGGATAAAGGAGAGCACAGGAAGTTAGGAAGGAATAGCAATAGGAGTGATGGGAGGGATTGGCAGGGGGAGGGTAGGGGGTGGACTTGATTGAAACACGTTGTATGCACGTCTGAGATTCTCAAACAATGACATTTGACTTCTATTATCTTTATTATCATATGCTACCATATGTTAACAGCACCTCTCAAAATGAAGCTATTTGGGGGCAGTTCTGGACATAGGACCCAGCACCCAGCACATGCTAGGCAAGTGCTACGTATGCCCCTGAGCTAAACCTCCAGTTCTAAAGTTACTTCCTTTGAAGGTCTTTTTGAGAATTCAAATAGGAGGTAATGGATTGTAACAAACCACAAATGGCTTTTTAAAAACTTAATCCTGTTAAATGTTCTATTTTTTCATTAATTTTTGTCAGACTTATACTTCTTCCCAACCTGTTCTCTTACAGTTTCAAATGTAAGAAAAATATGGTGTGCATCAATGCTAGAGAAAAAAAAAATTGAATGTGCTGAGCAGTTAAAAGGATTTTTCTGCCACTGTTTCATTTTTCTACCAGACTGTCAAAGTGATGAGTAAGAGACAGACCCCAGTGTTACCTCTGATCATCCGTGATGCTTCTCTTGACTTTATTCTTGTCTTCGCCTGTGCTTTGGTGAAAACTGTAAATACAGACACATGTATTCATTATCAACCCCATCCACTGTTTCCAGTCATCTGCAGCAAAACTAGGGAAAATGAAAGAAGGAGGCAGAGTGGACGCTCTAAGGCAAGATTCCCAGGCTGACGTTCTGAGGGTCTCGATCTCTGAAGAACTGGATAACTGTGTGCTCTTGCTGTCTTGAAGACTTATAGGGCAGATTTAATAGACCAAAGAATCTAGGAAACTCAGAAGGAACCTGCTTCTGAAGACCCCACTCCTGGCAGTTGAACAATCTACCTCCTGAACCTTTTCGACAACTTGACCCTTTCCCTTAGTCATTACCTAAGTATTTCATGCATAGGTATGAAATTATGAAAACAAGCTACTCAGGACGACATATAGAGAATATTATTTGCTGGAGATTTAGTGAAAAACTTTGGAAAATTAATGAAAGATAACTTTTAAAAAGGAGGCTGCTGTCAGATTGTAAACGCCTTATTTCATGAAGAAAGTGGTCTCAAAACTGGTGTGATACAATCCAGGACATACTCAAAGTGACCCAACCAAGGAGAAACTAACAATATCTGTCTATAATTACCTTCTTTTAACTTTGATACAATAGAATATATAATATATTTATTCAGTTATATATAAATACCCACATATATTTTTAGATAAAGTCAGAGAGAAAGAAACAGTGGTGCTAAATTAAACATTTTTATTTCTCAGATAATTCATTGTATTTACCTTATATTAACCACATAAACAGTATAGTTCCAATTCTGAAAGGTTGAATTGAGCTGGAAAACACAAAGGGAAAGTCTGAGTTTGGGTAATACTTAAAAACATTCTTTTTTGAGTCAAGGTTTTTTTTTTTCCTTCCCCAAAGATGAGCTGTTATTGGTACAAGATCTTTGGAAAATCTTAACGAGAGCTGGAGTGGAAGATAAAGGAATAGTTGCCAGACCCGTTATCCAAAATGTAATAAATGTCATTTCTTTCAATCTTCATATTAATTGCTGAAGTAGACAGAACATCCCTATCTCAATTCCATCTCTTTATTTATGAAGAAATAGAACTTTGAAGAGGCAAAGCAGTTTGTCCAGGAGCATCCTGTTAATCTTTGGCGGATTCCCACACTAGAACTTGAGCCAGTGGGATTGGAAATCCTGTCATTTTCTCTCTAGCTAGTATTCTAATAACAATTCTTCCATAAACACCTTATTGATTTTGCATTTAATAAACACTGAGAGGGAATCAAACATTTTTCCTAGTAATTATCATCTCATAAGAACATTAGAAATAATAAAAATCATTAATTAATGAAATAAATATTTTAAAAATCCCAGGGTCATTAGAACTATATTAATTTATGTGGCTATTAACAATGCTATAGGGTTCAATATGAACAATAAATTTCCACAATGCACAATAACAAAATACGATGTCTTCATTGATAGGAGATCCTGTTAACTTTAAGTCACATCTCAAGCCATCTTTCAGTCTTATTTCACACACTTATTTAGCTTTGGTTATAAACATTGCTAAAATACAATGTAAATTTTAGAAAATATTGGCAAATTATGTTAAATTATTTTTTATTATGACTAGAAATAGAGATTGAGTATGCTTTATTCAAATTTATTACTTGGGGCCAGAAGTGTTTCAAATTTTTTATTTATTTTTCTGACTTTACAATATTTTCATAGTGTTTACTGGCTGATCACCCTTAATCCAAAATTACCAAAGAAGAAACTCAACTTTTGGGTTTTCAGGATGGAGATAGTCTGCCTGGAGTAGGCATCAACGATGCCATTTGTATTTGCTGTTTTCAAGCATCTGCTCTGGTAGCTTGTGTCACGAATGAAAAGTGTCTAATAAAGCTAAGTCTTGAATGAAAATGGTATTAGGATGCCAAATCACAAAAGAATAGACATAAATACACACATTTAAAATTACATCCTGTCTAGCGCAAACTTACTTCCCAGGGAATGCTAATTTTCACGATTAATAGTATAACTAGTGGCTTGAGGCCGAAAATAAACAAATTGGTACTTTAAAATCACTCTGCCACAAAAACAAACAAGCAAACAAACAGCAAAGAGAACACTATGGAATAAAAACAGGATGTCAATATATGCGCTTTCTCTAAAGCCAGCTCTAAAACTCGAAGCATCTCATAGTGAGTGAATTAGTGGCTCACGTCAAGATGTCAAGAGCAGCATTTTTCTTTACTTTCTACTAAGGAATTTCAATTCCTTCTCCAATTCTGTAACAAAACTAATTACATACTATTGTTTGACTGTGGTCAACTTGTTTTAAAATATAGTTTCTTAAACATAAGACTGCTTTCAGGCTGGTGAGTTGGCTCAACAGTTGAGTCCAGGGAACCTGGATTCAGTTCCCAGCTCCCACACGGCAGCTCACAACCATCTATAACTCCAGGTCTAGAGGCCCTCATGCTCTCCTCAAGGCCTCCGTGGGCACCGCATGCATGTGGTACAGTTCCATATATGTAGGCAAAACACTCATATACATATAATTAAATTTTTAAAATATTTAAAAATAAGATTGTTTTCTATAATATTCTTCAAATTCATATGTGAATATATATACATATATATATATACACACACATCACTACTTCTCAGTGCATCACTTAAATATCTACTGCTACCATCTTTCTTGGGCCCATGCATGCTAATGACTGATTTGTGCAAAAATAAACAATTTTGAACTATAATGTATTTTTTATAAATTTATTGAATTTTTGTGTATTCATATATAAAATCAACTTTATGCCCCTTCTCCTTCCCTTTGGCACCCTCCCATAGCGCCGCCACTGGAATTCATACATTCAGTCATTTGAATTAAGGCCTATTATGTTATGTTATGTTATGTTATGTTATGTTATGTTAGTGTCCTGAGATGTCCCTCAGTGCAAGTTCATCTACTGGGGTTTAGTCAGCCTAGCTACAGTCTCTCCCTTCAAGAAGATCATCTCTGCCTCACACAGCAGTAATCATTATAATGTATTATATAAAAAAGACGTCTCAAATTTGTTTAGATAGCAAATGAAATGCTAGAAAAAACAGAAACCTATGGGGGAAAAAGAAAATTTTGAGACTGGCATGTAAAAATATATAAAAATATTCCAAAGATTGCATTTGTAAGGGAAATTTTTGTTTAGAAATTTAAAATTGTAAACTAGAAAAGTTTTCATTAATAAAACATTGATGTAAATCAATTATAACCTAAACTCCCATCAACAGAACACCTGTTAGGTAAATGGCTAGACAGTCACATAATAAAACATTATATGCACTGTTATAAAAGATGAAATTCTCAGCTGGGTGTGGTGGCACACGCCTTTAATCCTGGCACTTGGGAGGCAGAGGCAGGAGGATCTTTGTGAGTTTGAGGCCAGCCTGGGCTATATAGTGAGTTCCAGGACAGCTGGGGCTACAGGGAGACCCTGTCTCA